AGAGAGAGAGAGAGAGAGGAATTGTTATTCTGTTATTATCACAATTGTAACGTAATTGAAGTAACAATATTAATATTTTCACTGAAGACAACAGAAATTTGTAAAAATATGAAAGTTAATTGCAAATACCGTGAGAGAGTGATAAAGTTAGAAATTTGATTGACTAATCTGGAAGCAAGTAATTCGATAAATAGTTAAAAAAAAAGAAAAAGAAAAATTATCAAAGTATTACTTTGAAACCATTTGGCGTTCGTGAACTTGCTTCAACTTTGCTGCAGATATTCAATTTCAATTTGGAACGCATTCGAAAATTATATCCTCTCGAGAATCGGCTGGAAATTTCAACAAGCAAGACTGGTATTGCAAAGTAAATTTAGAAACACTTTGCGGGCGATCGTCTCCCACAAAGACATAGTGCATAGAATCCAAGAATATTCGAAAGCAAGAACAGTGTCCCATAATATCGAGCGCATTTCAGCCCCGGCATTGGCCGGCGAAATTAAACGCCACTTGGCGGTCTAAGCGAGAGACGTTCGTGCAAGGCATCTCTATTGTCCTCCATTGTCAGAGGACAGACCATTTCGAAAAGCAGCCGCGTGAATTAATCGCGCGTGCCTAATTCGATCTGGGCCATTTCCCATTTAATTACGATGACGAGCCTATGACTCGTCCTATGACTCTGCTCCCTTTTCGATATTAATCTCGAAAATTCTCACAGACATTTAATTCACACGATTATTCCACGTAAATTTAATCAGTCACTAAGACTGCCAAATGTCTGTTGAAATTATCAATTGTCAGACCAGAGTGACTAATGATATAATTTCTGTTAGAAAATGTTATGAATGTGAAACAGTGTATTTTTAGAGATTCGAGGTGTTTTCGTCGTTTTTCGGCATTTACAGTTTGTAACTACGAGCAGTTTTCATTGAGGATTAGAATAATAACTAGTGTTGCTTTCGCGAATGCATCGAATTAATTTTGGAGTAGTTAATTGAGAACTTGGCAAGGTTGCTCCATTTTTGGAGCGATGATTACCATTCGTGAGGAGCGTGAGAGGTGCGTTTTGCAAGCGAGGAGGTTTTGACCTGTTTCGAAAATGAGGTGACCCGTTTCAAGAACACGTTCGCGAATTACGTGGCTAAACTTGTCCGGGATTTTTCCGTTCTCAGTTGGTTTACCGCCGAGAAGTTACATTCGAGAATTCAGGGATTCAAAGGTTCAAAGTTTCGGTAACGTGAAAAATTCGATGATACAGAGATTTGGATATTTAAAAATTCGGAAATTCAGATTTTCAAAGATTCAGAAATTCGAACATTTGACGAGTCGAAAAATTCGGAGATTCGAATATTCAAGAATTCAAAGATTCGGATTCAAAGATATTTAGAAATTCGGGAATTCAGATGTTCAAAGATTCAGA